TTGCGAAAGAAATGCGCATTTTGAAGTGAGAGTACGAGAGGAAAATATTTAGTGTGATAAATTGTTGAAAGTTTTTTGATAGATTTGCGCATCTGATAATTGAAGTCTGTTGAAAAACGAGTTTTTTGAAGCGATTTTATTCGGCTGATTGTATAAAAAACAATTGAGAACATATTTCACTTTGAACTGCTCGAAAATGCATCAGAATATTTCATTTTCAAAAATAAAATTGAGACGAATGACTCTGCAAAAGTGCAACTGATGATGACCAGGAAATTCGTATTTGGATGGGATGGCTCATAAATGCAATAAGTGCATTACTTACAATAACCCTCTGTTCACTTAGGGAATTTATTTCCACTTCTTGGTCATCGTTTCATGTTCGCATTTGTTGATGCAGTTCATCTGTTCGAATCCAATCTTATCCTGATTCAGATTTAAGAGATGATCCATTTCCTGAAGATCGTTTCATGAAAAGCATCTTCGGTGGGATCTCAGATCGTTTGGCTGCTATGAAGTTCGCCTTTTTTCAATCATTTACTTTTTTGGTTCTGAGTTGCGATGCAGAGAAATATAATGCAAAGTGCTGATAAGAGATATTGAATAAAGGGACTGACGGATTTGAATGAAGGAATGGATGTTTTATTGCCGATTAAGAAATGTGTATAAGCAATATGAAATTCAAGGCGCTCTAAATTAACTCGATTGGAAAGACATTAAAAACATTAATAGTATTTCGGTATTAAGTTCATTGACAGCGGTAAAAGCACATTGTAAAAGGTAACATAATGATACTAGGTATAACAGTAGTAATGGTTAAAGCAATTAAGTAATGATTATGCAATAAAACAGCTGAAACAATGAGAATAAAAGACAAGATTGTAACAGAAAAAGCAATATCTCTAATATCAATAATACTGCTGAGAGGCACCAATGCAGGTAAGATTACCAGTAGTAAAGATGAATGGGTTTGGAAAAACTCTTAAGAAAACAGTGCAGAGAATTGACATATTGAGCATATGACCATTTGATTGTGATGTTTGGTTGGTCGACAAAAATAATAATGTCAGCACAGTTAACATACTCGAATGATGTAAAACAAAATCTTGATCAGTCCAAATTGAATTGAAGCACTTGTCTCCAACTTAACAAATCCCAATGAATACTTGAAGAGAAGATGAATTAACTGTGGAATTGGCAGTTTTTATTGATGATGTACTATGGCAACATTTTCAAAAGCTTTACCATGATGACGCTGACATGGAACTGCAAAAATTTGTGCTTGCCGTCATCAATAACGTATGTTTCACGTTTGTCGAATCACTGGATTATTTCATCGAATTTTCACCGACCAAATTATAACTATATGTTAATTGAAGAAAAAATTGCATTGGATGCTCAACAAACAGTCTTGCGATTGATTGCAGATTGATGCATTGTATCAACATTCATCGATTCAACCAAAAATTCGAGTTAAAATCACCCGTTACGATGTCATGAAAACACCACCTGTAAGTGATTATTCTTCGCATACCTAATGGCGATCAAGAATTACTTAACGAAGCCGCTGAAGTTAAAAGATCGCCATGAGATCAGCTCGCACAATGTTTGACTCGAATCGACGAGATAAATTCATTTTCGACGAAATGATATTCCGATGCAAAGAAACAGTGAATTGACAGTTGGTGGCATCGAAATGTTCAATTTGGAGAATAGATATCGAATCAAAATTTGGTATAGTTATTCGAAATTTAGGTAGAAATGGGTCGAAATTATCATGGCGATGGAAACGTTGATCGTCTTTTGGATGCATTCTGTAATTACCAGTATTCGAAAAACCCATCACAGGATAGCGATCCACAACACTGGGATCATGCTCTGTTGTTCTCAGGGTTCGTTCATCTCATCACAAGAGCAAACATGAATTCCTGAATAATCATTGGGATGTTTCTGAATTACATATAAGAATCGAAAAAGTGTTCGAAAACGCAGAAAGTCCACCTATAAAAAGTCGAAAAAATGTGTGCATTACATTGTAGATATGACCTTTATCGTGGCGATTTGCGAACAATTGCTGGATATGCAGCTGTCAAGGGAATGTGTACAAAGGAGCGCAGTTGCACAATTAACGAAGGTCTCGATTTTGGATCTGTCTTCGTCGTGACTCATGAACTTGGACATAGGTATCGCTTTGTCAAATTCTGCTGCTAAAATAATAGCGATAACTACCATCATCAGCAAACTCATTATTAACATTGTTTAAAATCGCCTTATAAGCGATGCTTTAACGTTGATTCTTGTTCGGCCTGTTTCGAAGTCTCATCTTCAAACATCTCTAACGAATTGTAAAACGGAGTTTTCACGATCGAAAGCACAAATAAACTGAACGAAATTTCTTCGAATTCAGTCTTGGAATGTATCACGACGGCGATAATCGTTGCGATTTACATTGCTGCATTATGTCACCAACTGTTGGCAGTGGTAAAACATCATGGTCAGCATGCAGTGTACGAGAAATGAATATATTTGTAATGGTTCGTTTTGAGTTTCAATTTCATTATATTGCTCGTCAAAACTATAAGTTATTTTAAAGATGGAATCTATTGATTTAGAGGTAATGCAACTATCGACGATTAAAGTGCAGCGTTTGTCAAAGCTACAGTGAATGTTTCAGCAATTGGGCCAAAGAGGACGACCAAACAATTGTCTGATGGATGGCTCGCATCCATCTGAAAGCTCAATCATGAATGTCCCATCAGGACAAGAATTCACTTTGGACGAACAATGTACCTTCTTTCATGGAGATTGTTGGAGGCATGAACTGAAAGATGGACAAAAACTGAGCGTAAAATTCATTTTCTGAAATAATCTTTAATGTTACATCATTGATTTTTCCAGTCTAATGACAGTGAATGAGAAAAATTTGATTGAAAATAACCTCTCTGGAGGAGCTACAAATTTTTTCAGTATATTGTAACAATTCTTTCTCTTGTCAAGTTATCGCTTTCGAAGNAAATATTCGATGTAGTGGCAAGAGTTCATGCTCGACAAAAACCGTGCAAAATTGCTCTGTGATCATTTAGCAATAACTGAACTTGACAAATTCAAGTGGTGCATGGAGGGAAAGTGCGTTCAAGCAAAACCGAGTGCGATAAGGAAAGTGAACGGTGGATGGAGTGCTTGGCATGACAACGGTGGTTCTTCGTCGTGTACATCTGAATGTGTTCCGTGTTCTATCGCCGGTCAAATTCGTGTTCGAAGGTCAACGAGACAATGCAGTAAACCATAGTAAATCGTTTCCATATTCATCGCTTCATTTTTTCGATCCTTATCGCTTAATTCTAATTCACCATTGATAATGCTCTGCCAAACAAGAATCAAACGACAACATGAACTCATTCAAATTCGCTTTTTTGTGATTATGAAATGTTGTTCGATAAGAGAAAATATCAATGAGAAGTATGTTCACGATGATGACGCTAATTTCACTTACAGTCCAAATAATGGCGGACTTGACTGTGCCGGAAGCTCAGCTCGTGGTATTCGCTGCCAAGAAGAAGTTAGCTTGTCAATTATCAACTGATAGCCAGTACTTCAGAAGCAATCCTATTTTGATGAATTGTCACTGACAGCTGAATGATTAAGGATTAAGNTGTTCAAATGCTTCTTTAAAAAAAAGAGTATAAATTTAGGTTGCAATTAATTTTTGGATGAGTTGGCGCAGGTGATTCTTTTGAAATCGAGAACACATTTTAAGGTGTGTATTGGTGGGTAATCGTATTAGAACTTTATTCAATTTCCCAGACGGAACTCCGTGTGGAAATGATCGATACTGCATTAAAGGACAATGCTTGGTAAATAATTTGCTTACTCTAGAAAGGACACCTCATGAATCATACACGAAAACATTTATACAAATTGATTCTGAAATTGAGATTTTGTTGAATTATAAGGATAAGCCAGACTGTAGCTTGTTCTAGAAATCTTAATGTTTCCGAGCTTTTGGGTGAAACTGAATTATGTGTACAAGACGGCATCGATATAAGATTGTTGCATTTCACGACTACAAAAAACTCCATTATTTGTGAAGAGTGGTTTTTCGAAATGAGTTAATTGAAGCAGTGTGTTGGAATCGCATAATTACAGCCTCTGTTGTGCGGTGGACGAGCGATTGCCGAGGCAGAATACCAGTGTCCAGAACGGGTTCTACGAGATGAAGCCATCCAGCCGGAAAGCAATAGTGTGGTGGATAAAAATCACTCGACATTCACGAAAGATGCTTCGAAGCGACCCGTCTTATATGGTAAAGCTATTGCATCAAATACTACTTTCAAATTTATGAGCGACACTTATAATGTTTTCGAATGTCGTCACTGTGAAATTCAGCGCGTTGACTACCACAAAACCACCAAAGCTGTCGAACAAGAAATAAGGTTGAAGTTGAATGAATTGAATGTGTTTATTGGGGAAGAACACAATAAATTATGATGAACACAACAGATTGATGGTGAACACAA